CCCCAAAACCCCAAAACCCCAAAACCCCATCAAGAAGTATTCTAAAAATAATTAAATTATAAATTAAGATATTAGATGATTAAGTAAAGATCTCAATGCTTTGATTTTGATACTCATTCCGACAACAATATTCAAATCATTCATAACTTAGCTTCAATAGGTGTGTTGTCTTCATCCATTTCTTTGATTTTGCTTAGATACTCAAAAACTGGCTTGACAAACCATTATTAAGTGCTCATGAATGTTTCAAAATAGCCAAGATGACCCCCATGATCTGTCACTCCGAGAAGAATCTTAGGATTTTACTTGCATATTTCATAATCTATGCTTCCTTCACCAATTACTGGATCATCTTTAGCGAATAAAACGAAAGTAGGAACGTCAATATGCGGGACTTTATGAATACTCGAAGCTTTGTCATAATAGTTATCTCTTGTTCCATATCCAAATACTTTACTGGTAATATGATGATCATAGGCTGTTACTGTATTTATCTCTTGCAAATGTTTTTTCAAATCAACTCCAAAATTCTAGTGATAGTTATCATGAATCATATCTGCATGCTTTTAGATTTTTCTAACTAAATTAGATCCAATAGCCTTATCATAGGCACCATAGAAATTGTTCGCTATTGCCTAGCCAGTTATCCACATCTTCATTGGAGGCTAAATGCAGCAAGCTGCTCTGATAAAGCACTTATCATTTTCTTCACCAATATAGTTTGCTACTAGTCCTGCTCCCATTGAATTTCCTACTAAATACAGATGCCTTATTTGTTATCCTTTGGAGTTTAAACAGTATTTGTTTCTAATGTACTCAACAGGTTCTCTTACATCATTACTGCTTGCAGCACAGTACAATTATGGACTCTAAATTCCTATCATTAAAAATGCGAACTTACGCTTAGTTCCATTTCTGAAGCGCCACGATAATTGACCACAACGCCTTAGAAGCCTTTCTTCTTGGCCTCAATGAGTAGATTCAACATATAGATCTCATTGTTATTGCTGGTCAATCCAGGAACAACCACAACAATAGGTCTCAGTTCTTTTTTATTCATTGCACCATCTTACTGTGAAAGATCACTAGGTATTACGTCAACCCAATCGATAGCAGTTTAGCCTTGGTCTTTAAATTTAAACACTTCTCTCTTTAGCTAGACCCTATTGTAGAATCTCAATAAGGGTCCAAGTAATGGATTCATGACTGTTTGCTGATGATTTGTAGGTAAAAAGAACGATGGACGAAATTTCTATATGGATTTAAGTTACGATTAATATAAATAAATCTATCAATCATCATACCATCTTAGTCAAATTTGTTTGAGAGATAACTGCCTGTATTTCTTTTACTGGATTTTCATTATGATAGATGTAAAGCTTATTGTCTTATCTTGCTTTCTTATAGAGCAGCCATAAGAAATACCATGCTGATGCATAAAATGTTCTAGGATACTTGGCTATTAATTTTCCTAAATTCTCCATTATTTTATTACTGGTTCGCTATAACTTTCTATAGTGGTAATTCGGGGTTTTGGGGTTTTGGGGTTTTGGGG